TGATAGCCATTCTAACAGGTGTGAGATGATATCTCATTGTGATTTTAATTTACATTTCTCTGATGATTAATGATGTTGAGCATCTTTTCATATAACTATTGACCATCTATATGTCCTCTTTGGAAAAATGTCTATTCAGGTCCTCTGAAAATTTTTTAATTGGATTGTTTGGTTTTTTATTGTTGAATATTATCTAATCTTTCAGTGTTAGAATAATAAAATGCAATAACATGGGGGAAGAGTTAAAAATCTATCTGTTATTTCACAGAATTTGATAAAATATATGTCTGCCTACACCTCATTCACTATTTTATTACTAGAAGCATCAAAACTCTAGTAAACTGTTGTTTTATCCAAGGTGTTTCTACTACTTCAGTGGGAGGAAATATTTGCTGAACCCCTCAGACTAGTTGAGAGAAAAAGCTGAGTAGCCAAAGTTTGTGAGAGCCATGAGCAGTAACAGACTCAATTAGCATAATTTCCATATGCAAACTTGCTATTGATGAAGATTATATCAGAAGTATGACACTTACTTAGATTTTTTCAAATAAAGCACTGCGATTTTTCCATTGACTGTCATTTCATACTTCAATTCGGTTTCAAATTTTTCCTGAAAAAATGCACAAACATTTACTGGTAATTAAAAACACACAAATATTCACTTTGCTAGGTCCATCTGTTTAATCATGAGCAAGCAATGCCTGCTTTTCTTTAACGCTATTCTTTATAATACCAATTGTCTGCTTCTGTCTCTTTTAACAAATCAAACAACTCTGCCAATTAGGTAGTCAAATTATCTAAGAACTTTATATCCATCCATCTACCCATCCATCCATCCATCCATGTATTCTACAAATATTATTTGAGTGCTGGTTATATGCAAGACACTTCTCGGTTCTGGAAATTTAAATCTAAGCAAGAAAAATTGGTACCTGCTGTCAGAAAGCTTACACTCTTGTGGAAAGACAGACAGTGAATGTGAGTTACACTGTATAATAAGCGAAATACATGTGGAAGCAATGTAGGATGTCTATCTAACATCTTAAGGGAAGGAAAGGCTTTCTTAAGGAAGTAATGTGCAAGCTGAGATAAGAATTAACCCAGTGGAAGAGTAGGGTATTATTTGAGAAAGAATTGTGTGCACACAGACCCGAAGGCCTCCAAGCCTCTCACTGATGATTTTTGGTTTGGAGACCTTCTCAAGGCTAAGTCGATGTTAAAATATGGGCAAAATAAAAGGCACATGTACCTTAAGACAGGGAGAAGTCATCCAGAAGAAAACATGGCCTAAGGCATTCAGAAAGAGAAACTATCTCCTTAAGTAAACCATGTGAATCAGGAGAACGGTTTTAACTTTTGATTAATATATACAGGAGAAGCTATAGATGACTATACAGAAGTATTTTAAAAATCTTATTGGGTACTGAGTTCTGACTATTCTATAAAACAGAGTTATTAGCCACAGTTACACCCAATATCTAAAAATTCACTGGGAAGTGTCAGCATAATATTGTTAAAGAGATCTAAATATGGCAGACCACATATGATTGAGAATCACTTATTCCATAAGTGTGCTGCTCCCTCTGCTGTGTTGCGCCGATGGCCAAGTTATTTTCTCTCCTTCCTCTCCTGGTCAGAATAGTATCTGAGCTCATTGAGGGACAAGAATGAGTTAGACCCATCAGATCAGGGGTATCGTGCAGAGATTTTTTCACTTCCAAGATCAGATATTTTGACCCATACTTTCTTTAAATTATCAATTACTGAAGTCTTCTTTGGGGTCAAAAATCCATGACTATAGATATTCTGTACTATGGGACTAGATGAGGAGAGGCTACTGTAATTCAATCCATTTTCACAAATAACAGGAGCTAGAAAGAAATCTAAGAGTGAAAAATAAGTCATGGGGAATCGTAACCACTTGTGGTTCAGGTTTAAGAATGAACATATTAGAATACTAGATATGACCTTCTAACTAGAATAGCCTTCTAGATATCTGTTTCTCACAATCATGAATATATTCAAGGTTCTATCTTGGTCTTTAGTGTCTCCAGAAAATTTCTAAGGATTATTTTTAAGATTATGAGCTACATGTATTTATAAGTCAGCTTGGAAGTATTAAGTGCCCATCTGTAATATTCATCAACCTAAAACATTATTTGGAGGCTGTTTACAGATTATGGATGAAAGGAAACATCAGGAAGAAAGCCATAGTCTCTATGAAAGAAGGTGCACTGGGTAAGGCTATAACTGCTCTTCTCAAGTACAAGTCCATGGTGGAGAGTAATGCCTGCTGATAAGAAATGTGTCCAATTTATGTTCTATTTTGGGTTCTGAACTATAGGTTAGGAGAGTAAAGATGCATCTTGACTTGGAGAGAATTCACTAGAAGGAAATGATGTTGAGTCCATTGAGTAAGATGAGCTGGTCATAGGGACATATAAATAAAAATTTCTTCCGGAAAAAGATATAATGCATAAGGTTTAGGAGGTGGATGGTCCTGGAATGGGAGCAGATTTGTGAAGTCAAGATGACACCCATGAGCACACAAGAAATAGCAAAGGAAACCCTATAAATCCCAGGTAAGGTCTTAATCGAAGTCTTGACATAACATACAAAAAATTCAAGACTTCTATAAATCCTGGTAGACCGAGTTGAGGCCTGAAATTGTTTGCAGAAAGGGGAAGCATTATGCTGCCACATACTCTATTTTAGGGCATAAGACAAAGGCAAGATGGTTTTGGCCTCCAAGGAAATATGTGATCTGGAAGCCAAATTCTAGGAAGAATAGCAACTACCTTTTGCATATGTTTCCAACATCAGGGACCTTGATTAAGTATTTATTGAATACATATTTATGCAGCTATGTGTGTAATGTACTCCATTTATACTCCTTCATTCATTTGTCCATTTGTTTACTTATTCATTTGCTCATTTATTTGACAAATATTTATTCAGTTTTTCTTATCCCATGCATACAAAATACAATCATGAATACAATCATGAATATACTCAAGGTTCTATCTTGGTCTTTAGTGTCTCCATAAAATTTCTATGGATTATTTTTAGGATTATGAGCTACATGTACTTATGAGTCAGCTTGGAAGCATTAAATGCTCATCTGTAATATTCATCACACAACTAAAAAGAGTAAGGAGAAATCTGTAAATATACTAGATAAAACCACAAAACTGTAAGCGATGCGGCCAGGCATGATGGAGTCAGAAAGATGGGGCTATGATTTTGGTACAGCTGACAGGTAACACTGGTGCCTCAGTCTCTGGTCCAGTAAAGGGCACAGTTGTATAATAATAAGCACTGAAGTCCTCCACTTCAGGAGAACTTGAGAAGTGAGTAATTAGCATCTATGAATACAGAGATCCCTTGGTCACATGCATTATGACTTCCGAATGTTTTGAGTAATTGCTAATCAATTCTTTGTACAAGGAAGACCGATAGGATCAATACAGAAAGCACAAGAATAACGTTCAAGACCTTGGCTTATATTGATAAGACAGTGTTCTTATTAGTCATAAGATGTACCTGAGCAAAAGGAGAAGATGCTATGTCAAGGGAAACAATGCGCCTACTGCATGACAGAGCAGGATTGAAATACCAGACATACGGCAGCATGGAGCCTTATAATTATAGAAAGGACAACGGCTGAGATCACAGAGTAACTGCCAAACTTTAGTTCTAGATGTTCACAGGGACATACCAAAAGCCACATGATATGATCACCAGATAAAATATAAGACTCTAGTTAAATTAAATTTCAGGTAAACAGTGGATATTTGTTTAAACATCAGCACATCTCATACAATACTGAGAATACTTACACTAAAAAAGCATTAATTATTTATCAGACATTAAAATTTAAGTGAGTATCCTGTATATTTATTTGCTAAATCTGGCAATTCAACATATGGTGGAGTCCGAGATGTAAGAAATAATGGAAACTAGACATCAGTGACCAGGGAAAGGAGGTGAAGTTGTGAGATACCTAAGCCTGGGAACTATGACCCAGGAAAAGCTGATTAATTCTTTTGTGTTGCTTTAGCCAGGAATTACACTGAATGGTTCAACCACATACTTGCTGTAAGGTTCTTCAAAGGCATCCACCAACACCTGAGAACACCAATGTCACTTCAGTACAAAAAAGTAAACATGAGTGAGCTACATGTATTTATGAGTCAGGTTGGAAGCACTAAGTGCTCATCTGTAATATTCATCATGCAACTAAAAGGAGTAAGGAGAAATCTGTAAATATACTAGATAAAACTACAAAAATAAAAATAAGATTTACCATATAAAGAAACATTAAAGCTTTGAAATTATTTAAGCAAAATTTCCTTCAATTCTCTATAGGATTTGACAATACTTTTATTTTCTTCGAAAGATAAAATTGTTGTGTCTCGCAAGAAATTCTTTGAATCAATGAGCATTTATGGAATACTTTCTATAAGACAGGGGCTGAGAGATGAGAGTGATGGAGAAGCAGAGACATGTCAAAGACATAGAAAACACTTTTTTTATTGACCCTGGCAGTTCAAACCAGAAGATTACATACACAGTCATACACACACACACATACATACATTCTTACTACAATAAAATCAATTTAAAAAAAAAAAAATCAAGAGCCAAATGGTGTAAAAGCATAACTTCAAGATAAGGATCTATTAGTATATACATGAATATTTAATGTTGCCTTGGCAAACAATGTAAGATGGGCCAGACTTTCCATACAAAGAGAATGTTTTAAGTAGCAAGAAAATCATAAGGAAGGGCATAGAGATGGAAACAAGCATATTATTAAGAAAGGCCTTGAGAATACCCAGGCTGACTGAAAAGAAGATTATGTTGAGAAGCAGAAAGAAAAAAAATGGCTTGATAAATCATAGCATTAAGCACAAAGAGCCTTGAAAGTTAGTCAGAAGAAGTACAGTCTGATGGGTTACACAGGGCAGAGTCATAGGATACACTTGAACAGGAAGTTAATAAATTGCAACCCACTTTGATTTTCACCAACATTATTTCAAAATAGCCATATAATGTAAGCATTCCTATTATTATCTCAAATTTTAGGCAAAATTTAGACTTTGAAGTTTGCATGCGTCTAAATTTACACAGGATAAATTAACAAAGCTAAGACATGAACATAAATAAGCCCTCTGAATTCAGATGCTTTCACTTTCACGATGGATAAGAAAAACATAAGGTTTATATGACCAGTTAACTGAGTAGCGGACTAGATAAATAATGTATTTGCAATAAATGTGAAGTACATTATATCGATTGCATCCATCCGCTCAATCATTTAAAA